GCCTACCTACCGTGCTACCTTGCTACATGGAGGCTAGATGCCTAAGGTAGGTGCCTCGTCTCCTGCATCTGCGGAGCCTGGAGTCCACCGAAATCCACCCGTGTCACATGATCGATGAGCTAATCCCCTTTCTGACATTCGCATTCTTGAAGCTAATTAGGTACGTACCTGCGCTTACCTGCCTAGGAACCTGAGGTGAGGTACGAACACCTACCTACCCTCGTACCGTGGTGTGGATTCGGCGACGGTCTTTCGTCATTGCGAATCGTCAACTTGTTCTGCAAGAACTTTGCAACTTCACATCAACCATGGCGGCATATATCAAGCAGGAGCCGGACATCAAGCCGGATCCCGACGCGATTACGGCGTCTCCTCTTGACGAGGACGACTTGTACGAGGATGCCGGCGATCTCGAGTTCTTCGACCCTAACAGCGATCAAGGAGCGTTTGGCCAGGCGTATTTGGCCCGCGTCCCGAAGGACCTATGGGACGCATGGGATAGTCTTCCAGATGACGCTGAGATCGAGGTTGGCACGATGCGGCAGTGGGATGTTGCGAAGCCTGATGGTACTGTTGAAGTAGGTTGCAGGCGCTACGCGACGCGACGAGCCCAACTACGTTACGTTGGCTAACCTCCCCGCAACAGCACCGATTCAAGATGCTTCTCAATCCAAACCGAGCCGAACACCAACTCATGCCCAAGGAGTACGACCTGGAAATGGGCAAGGAGCTGGCACGCAGCACCTTCGTCTTCTCCGAGGAGGACCTTCCTGGCTTCAAGGCGAAATCGAAAGCCCGGAGCGACGCTGCCAACGCCGGTATACCAGCTCGATTCTTACGTCCGAAGAACGAGAAGGTGGAGAAGAAACCTTTTGAAAAGCGCGGCAAATGGCAACCCTACTACCGCAAGGCGATTCCGAGTTGGTTCCCATCCTCTAGTCGCGGATGTTTCTGAGTTCTAACTTCGGGCAGAGAAAACAAAGATCGCGGCCAGGATCCAGTACGAGTTGGCATGCAAGCCTGTCGATAATGCTGAAAGCCAGGCGATCTTGCAGCGCAAGCAGCTTGAGGCCCTCAAGCCTAAGCACACTCTCCAGATTATGGGGCAACGTGCCGCGAACAACGTTATTCAACACGGGTCTGCTGCCGCGGTAGAGAAGTTCGGTTCCTTCATCGTAAGAATCAACCCGAAAGCCCGTATTTGGATCGCAGCTGACATCGCACGTAGAAAACGACGGCGCCTATGAAGGCCACAAAGCCAAAGAAGGCAGAGAACCGGTCGGCTCGCATGTCAGAAGAACAGCTTTTGGATGGTCTCATGGAAGCATTCAGAAAGTATGAGTACTGGAAGATGTCTATCTTGAAGGCCAGGTTCGACCAGCCAGAAGCTTTCTTGCGGCAAACCCTGGAGAAGATTGCAGTACTCAACCGTTCTGGTATCCACGCCAACGAATGGTCACTGCAGGAGCACATGAAACAAATGGCCTCTGGCGCAACCAGCGAGACGGCACCAGAAGAGGCAGCAGCCGATGACGATGACGATGAGGTTGTCATGGAGGACGTCGTCTGAGCGTGGCTGTTGATTCAGACTTTGCATCGAGAGGGCTCTACACTCTTCAGAACATTGCATGGCGTTTGGGGGTTACATGGGTGACATTAGGGGTGGCGATTTTTCCACAGGTTTTGATACCCGACTGGACACGAAGTCTTGGTAGACGTGTCGCGGGGTTTCGCCGCCGCTTGGTTCGAAGGCATGAATAAGTCTTTCGCGGGAACGAGAAGAAAAAGACGACACGTCCCTGAGCCAACCGACATAGATTTCGAAGCATAAAGTATTCATAGTCACGGGTCGGAATGTCATGTGCTACCCCGTGCCCTTCTAGCGTGCATTTTGCCATCCTTGCCTTCGGATCGTCCAGGTGGGGAACCGGGCAGATCCGCAAACAATTCTTACATCTAATTATATCCGTACGCTCCAGCCGATGGTTCGTCTGAATTACAACATACAACGCGCATTTACTTTCCCAGTCGCCAGCAATTCTGGTTCATCAATCTCCCTCATGTCTCGGCGAGCATTGAATCTGGTCCTTGATTTTGACGGTACTATTACGACAAAGGACACAATCGACACAATTGCGGAGATCGGCCTCAACTTCCAGAAGAAGCGCGGGTCCGATTTATCAGCAGCTTGGCAGCAGATCCTCAAGGACTATGGAAAAGACCACGCTGATCATGTCGCGGGCTACAAGCCACCGGCGAATAGCCGACTTGCTCTTTCCGACGAGCTCGCCTACTTACGCGGCCTAAAGGAGGTCGAGCTGCGTTCTGTGCGGCGTGTCGAGGACTCTGGCATCTTCCAGGGCATTAGCAGAGATGATCTTCTAAAGGCCGGAAATGCTGCCCGGGAAGAAGGTAGAGTGAAGCTCAGAGACGGCTTCGTGGAGCTCATGAGCACAGCTAGGCAAAACGGGTGGTGTGTCTCAGTGGTGTCTGTCAATTGGTCGAGATCCTTTATTCAGGGCGTCCTCTCTGCCTACGGATTTGATGTCGTCGCTAATGAACTCGAGATGGACGGCTCGCTTTCTGGTCCGGATGTCCTGGGTCCGCCCAGTCGAGACACCATCTTGACGACTTGCGAGGACAAGCTACGGGCTCTTCGGGCCTTGGCGGTTCGTCAAGGAGCCGACAGTGCCGAGGGACTCGTGTACTTTGGAGACTCAACCTCTGATTTGGAGTGCTTGCTGGTGGCACGAGGTGTTGTGGTATCCACGAATACAGAGTCTAGTCTGATTAAGACTCTGTCAAGGGTGGGATGCGACGTGCGCAGAGCCCTAGGTCACCCCGGGTCAAGCAAACTGGTGTGGGCGTCTACCTTTTCTGAGGTATTACAGAGCGGCTTTCTCTGAGAGCCATCATGCGGGCGGGAATCTGGCATGAGGGCTCTTTTGTCTCAACTCTCCGTTGCGATATCCATGTTGAGAGAACAACATTATTGAGTCTCATCGGCTCTTTGTGTAGGGACTTAGAAGCCTGTAATGCGAGTCCATTGTCCTTTACACCCCTGCCGCAGGACAATACAGCAATAGAATCCAGGTACACAACGTTGATTGGAAATTGCTCCACTGTTCGTGTTTGTTTGCGTCGTGACGGAGACAACTACTTGGTATATAAGCAGTAATCCAGATCTTGACGTTTCGGCAAGCCAACCACCGACGATTCAACCAACGGACCCAATTACCTGCTACCATCACGCCTTTACCGAGAACTATTCAGTCAACATGTGCTTCTATCGATCCACTTTGTACGAATGTAAACACATCGACTTCAAGAACAAGGTTTCCGACTGTGAAAACCAATTGGACTTCCTTGCCGGCAAGCGTCAGTGTTGCTGCTGCGAACGTCAAACCCATTCCATCCAATGTGTTCGGGTTGCATCCAAGTGCTTCAAATGCCAGAAACTTGACAAACTCCAAGCCCGTGCGAAGAAAATTCTTGGAGGCTTACACGAGAAGCGCGATGCCTCCGCTGACACCGCTGATCGTGCGTCCGCTGCCGATTCTTCACAAGCCGGCTCCTCTGAGCCTAGTTCTTCGGAGACTGGCTCCTTGAACGAGGATTCTGGTAAGACTTTGGACGATGGTCTTTGAGCTTTTCAACCTGTGTCTGTGAGTTGCGTGTGTATATCCTGTATTAGAATTGAATCAGAAATTGTAGCTAGGAGATGCGCGAATTGACTTAAATCATCAAAGAAGTAGCCTTGGGACGCAACAAAACGTCAACTTGGTCAATTCGTTACCATTACTTTATTATTTTGACTCGGGCTTTAAGGTGACACAATTCTATAACATAGCCGCCATTCTCTACCACTTCCACCATCGCCTGATTCGTCATCTCAACATCCTCTGCTGGGACGTCATTCTCCTTGGTCACGCTCAAGAAGGCCCTTTCCAAAGTTTCTCCCCTCATGGCATAACATTCAATCCCCAGTGACTCTCTGGTCGGATTCAGTTGGTCAATGAGCTCAACGACGGGGCTCACTTTGCGGCTTTTGATTGCCGACTCGGCATTGGCGATTCCGTCATGAGGCGCATGAGATCCTGGCATAGTGAATCGGATTTGGCTACCAAGCACGTCTCTCTCGATGGAGGCCCCCGGAACGTGGTCTCGAATCCAGTTACTAATTCCAGTCATTTCCTCCAGGATGAACGCCGGAGCGGAGTTCAAAAGGAGTTGGGCACAGTAGACATAGTAGACATAGTAGACATAGTAGACACTATTGTACTTTTGCCTTAAGGCTTGAGTCGTTCCGACGGCTAGGAGTCGCTGCGATATGACGGCGGCCCTGCTGGTGATGTTGTCTGCCTCTTCCATGCGTTATGTATGCGGCTTTGATCAGCATTCTATTCAACGAGTATTTGAGCAGACAGAGCTCACGGTCAGCCGCAAACAGCGACTTGGCTAGATCTCCTGGTTGATCTTCTAGAACACCCTGTTGGCGACGGCATCCGTGGCGGAGGTGGGCTCGTCCAAGATGAAAACCGGGAATGTGCCTGTGATGTCGAGCTCCTGACCAGAGCCAGAAGTCAACGCTGAGGACGGTTACCCATTAATGCAATCGACAGACTCAGTTCCGTCTGTTGCCTCCAAACAGTGCAGAAGCCTGTCGATTGGCTTACGGCATCAATCCCAGCTTCTCCCTGACCAGGCCAACATTGCGTTGAATATCCTCAACGCCCTTGATCTTTGCGAAGAATGTTAACTGTTCTCTCGTTCTCATAACATCGAGAAAATTAGGCGGCATAAGAGGAAGTAATGCTCACCTAGCCTGATGTAAACTTGTCGGTGAGACACACTGATGAATCTCCCACGAACACGTAAGCCAACTGAAGATTCCTCATCTGGCCCCCGCTAGGAATCTCTACCCTGCTGTTCGGTTTTTGAGACAGGTCACACGCGGTAATCAATGCGTCCAGTTCCTCCTTGTCCCGTCTGCCTCCCTTGATGTGGTTCCAAATATCGATGTATTCGGCTACAGTTAACTCTGACCAGAAGGTGTTCTGCGGGGGGAACACACCTGAAAAAGCTCTACCAGTCTCCTGTTATCGGAGTGAAAGCCGTCGTGACAGTACGAACCCAGTTGTGATGGGAAGGTGTTGGTATGAATCGCGCCGTCGGTCATTGCCAGAAGCCCGGTCATCATCTGCGATGCCGTCGTCTTTCCAAATTCGCTGGGGCCTAAACGACAGAGAACCTGACTGCTGTAACCTTGCAACTGCACGCCGTCGACCGCAGTGAAAGAATTTGCTTTGTCGCCCCTGAACAACTTTTCCACTGGGGACGACTCGAAGGTCTTATTCAGTTCCCGAGCGTCAAGCACGATTGAGCCCACGGCTGCCTGCTCATCAGAGCACGATTGTCGCTTGAAGCTGATAACATGCAGGGTCGACTTGATGAATATCGCCAGCGGCGGATACAAAAGGGCAGTCATTATCAGAAGTGCAAAGAGCGTGACACCGTACATCAGCACTGACATATCTCCAAACGGCGCTGGGAGCTCCTTTTGAGATGGCGTGTCTAAGTCTGCGTTCATAGCGCATGGTTTAAACGTATTGGTATCAACTGGTGCTGGAGAATTTAAGGGAAAGAATGCCGACACCTGCGGAAGAAGAGTGGCGATTTGCCAAGAACATGACGAGCCCGGAAAGGATCAACGATTGCGCCAATGCAGTTAGACGGAACAGAGATCCCGCGAATACAGCGAAACTGTTCATGGCAAATCCCAGTAGAATGTGCAAGAGAACGAGAATTGAAATAGTGGTGCTGCTGGTTGGCCAGAGAAAGCGTCACTGGACAGCGCCTAAGATGATACAGCAGGGGAGGTAAATGACGTTGAATACGGCGAGGTATAAAGAACCCGGGCCGTCGGATTTCCGCCCATGGCGTCAACGAGCTGCGACACACCGAATTCGCGTTCTGAAGACCAGTTCAGTGAGATGGAAAATCTGCGAGAGGAAGCCGAGGAAGAAGGCGAAACCATACCAGCGAGCAGCGCCGGTAACAACTGCGGGGCGAAGCACCTCGTCGACTTCCTGTTGTGTATTTTGCGTAAATCGGAAGAAGCGCGGCGACAGTGTAGAGACCGCAACCTGCATTGGCAAACAGAATGACTCGGGATTCCGTCATGTCTGAATACGTTGTAGGGGATGGGCTTTTTGTCCGGGTCTCCTCGAATCGTGTACTTCCACAAGTGCAACTCTCCTATCTCGATTGGGTCGTCATTGTTGTGCGATTCGAGCTCTGGTCCTTCGCTGGAGGTTGTTTGCGGTGAGTCCGTGAGGGTGATGGAGCCGCGGCAGTTGCTGACGCCTCGAATATCGGCGAGGCATTCTGTCACCAGTCGCTGCTCTTCTTCCATAAATCCTAGCGATTCTAGTCACAATGGCTTCGTTACTGTAGCGATGATATCGTCTACGTCCTTTCCTAGACCTGGACGCTTGACGATATTCAGAGGCTTGTTCGTATAGTCCCGGCGAGGCTTGGGAGAGATGCCGGTAATCCAACACCATTGACGTCAGGTACCTGGGTGAAGTAATGAAGATTGAGTAGAAGGGTTATCAATGTGATTGGTATAACATAAGATTCGAGAAGAAATGCGACGGGATATCTGACAACGGCAACAAGGAATGTCTTGCATATCAAGGCTCGAAGTTACCGAACGAGGGCACCTTTAGAGGCGCCATTTTGTCGTTTACTGTACAAGGAGAGGAGAAGTCAAAGTCTAGCCACCTGCCATGATTTCTATTCACGAGACATGAAACAACACGCAAAGCCTGAAAGCCAAAACCAATGAGGACCTATCTTGGAGGGAGGTGGTAAAGAAGCATGAGTTGTCGTGAATCGGCTATCCCCGTCGCTGCCAGCCACACGACCAATCATGATCAAATTAAAGGCATCCGATTTCTGCCCGGTATCGGCAGGAAGCTATACCGAGGTCTGTCTTGTCTCTAAAGAGGATTGATACCCATCGCAATGCACTGGTGGGCAATTCTGAGGACTACCAGAGAGCTGACTTGCCGGCCGTTGAAGCGAAAAATCCACTTGGTACCCATTGACGGGGAGAGCGATTGCAATTCGCGGACAAGAGGCGCAAGAGAGCTTTGTCTGCCAAAGGACGGAGGAGGTCTCCGTATTTGACTCGGTTGAATCATACTGGAGGATATTCTGCTGCCGAATGCCCCGAACCACAAGATGTGAGATGTCAAAGACGTCGAGCACAAAAGGCACGAGCCTTCGCCGACGGCTGTATCTCCGAATCTATGGCGTGATTCAAGCTTCCCAGCTGCCACGAATGCCTTCAACGGAACTGACACCGTGCATAGTCGCCGCAGAAGGGAGCCAGCAACTTTTACGTGCGCTAGATGACGTGACTTAGAAGAAGAAATAGTCTTTCACAACCGCTGGGTTGAAATGTAGAAAATTGGATGAAGAAAATGATCCCGGATACAAGGGATTGGTGTTTCTGAGCAGACTGCAGCAGCTTGTCAGCAGGGTCAAATGTGCAATGAGCCAACAGAGAGGGAAAGACACGAACACCTCCGGGACGACGTCTTGTCGCAGGCTCCATCCCGAGTCGACTATGGTGCAGTGGCCGCATCGGCCCCGTTGGCATTGATTGTAATTCGGGTCTCGGTTGATGAATGTGAGATGAAGGCTACGAGGAAGCGAGGTATCCGACGAGTAGCAGAACGGACGAGACAAGACAAACACGGCCGGGCCAGGTGTCAGATTGCTTCGGACGGCTCACAAAGCCAACTTGTGGCTAGGAGGGGCGAGGCAATGCATTGCAGCGCGTCGGGGGCACATGGCAGGAATGTTTCTAGATGGACGGAAATGGACGCGGCTGAAA